ATCATTTTCTGTTAAGGTATTTTTTCTTTTACTTAGTTATTTTCTTCAAGTACTTTATAGACACCTCTGATCAAAATTGTGAAGTATTTTTTCATCTTTATTTTTTTTATTTGATATTCAAAACAGTGACTCAGTACGAGTGTCTCACGGAGGTTAAATTTCAGACATTTTTAACCACAGTCTGGTTTCAGGATGAACCTCAAAGCTTTGAGCGAAGGAACATTAYGATGCAGGGGCAAGGCTGCACTTCCACAGATACTATATGCTGTCCGAAAAGCTTGGCGAGTTCTTTTTATGCATTTTAATCCATGTGTGCTGTGTGTTGCTAGGTGCTTCACTCCAGCTCCCTCTGGTTGGGTTGCCATATATAGGTTTGGCGGCAGGGTGTCGATTTGCTTTACAATAAACCTGTAAATGCCAGTACATTTACCATTTTAGTGCATCGAGGGGAAGAACAGCAGCAAGGTCACCAGAAAGTTCTGCTCAAGTTTCGGCGACATATCAGAAGGTTCTGATTTTAGAGAAAAAAAACAAAAAAAACACCAACCCTGGCAACTAAAACGTGCAGATGCTTTGGTTTGCCGACTGCTGCTCCACGCACCACAACAGGTTAACAGGCTCAGACCACAACAAGTTCTCAATCCACCCAAACGCTGCGGTTTAGCAGCATCCGCAGACTGAGAAGTGAAGAGTGAGGCCATTTCCAAACTAAACAGAATTCGCAGCAGGCACGAACACACCGACGCACACAGAGCATTATTAATAATTAACTGTTTTCTGCAAAGAAGCGCTTTACTGTGAATGCTGAAACGCTGCATTACTCCTCCCGTCTTGTGCCACTTCCTGGCTCCCACTTCATCAGTCTTCTTCCGTTTCGCCTTTTCCTGCCACTTTTATCTCTCCAACCCCCCTTTTTTTTAATTCTGTATCTTAATAGTTTGGTTGAATGAGTTCATTAAGGTTATGCAAATTTTGACCAGTTAAAATCATTCAACTTGTTTAATTAAATGAATTGTCAAATATTTATTTTGGATTATGTGCAGCTGAAAGTGACAGTTCAGATAGTTGATGTGGGGTTCTTTTGAAGGGTTATGAACTAGTATTATCTTAMCTGTTGCAGATAGCTCATCAAATGGTCTCGGTTAAAAACAAAGTTGTATTTTTATCAGAAACAGCAACAAACCACTTWAATATTGTCCCTGCTTGCAGGAATCGTTAGCTTGTCAATCGAGTCTCAACAAATTTATACTCTTCTAATCTATACAAGGTTGTTCAGTGGGCTATCTACAACAKGTCAGATATTAACTAGTCATATTTTTTCCACAAAGTCCCTCTTCAAAATATCTGAACTACTCATTTAAAGATTGTCAACCTGATCAATACACAACAGTCATGTTCAGTTTAGAATCGACGCTTTAAAATATTCAGTTTGGTTTTCAGAATAACTTAGATTTTTTTAAATTTTAATTTATATCACATAATTCATCAAATGTCAAACTGGAGCTCATTTTCATCCTTGCAACATGTCAGATATTAACTAGTCATATTTTTTCCCACAAAGTCCCTCTTCAAAATATCTGAACTACTCATTTAAAGATTGTCAACCTGATCAATNAACTACTCATTTAAAGATTGTCAACCTGATCAATACACAACAGTCATGTTCAGTTTAGAATCGACGCTTTAAAATATTCAGTTTGGTTTTCAGAAAAACTTAGATTTTTTTAAATTTTAATTTATATCACATAATTCATCAAATGTCAAACTGGAGCTCATTTTCATCCTTGCACAAATTCAGTTCACACCAGTTCTCAAAAATGAGAGTTTCAATACCTCAGCTGTCACGAAAAACAGGTCAAATAGATTTTTTTATAGGTGCATCCTTATAGCAAACAGAGTTTAATGACATAAGATATGTAAATTCCAGACAGCATGCTTGATGTTTATGAGCTCCGAAAGCTTCCTCAAAAGAAAACGGCTTCCAGTCCCCGGAGCTGAAAGATTCAGAAGATTCAAGATTCACAAGCGAACGAGCCAACAAGCCGCGCTGCGCCGGCTGCCACRAAAAGTGATGCAGCGGTGACGCATCTGTCTTTTCCTCCCACCTTTCCTGCGCCACTGTGATTGGAAACGAGAGAGACAGCGAGGAGAAAGACAGGTTTCTCCCCCTCCCGCTCACTCGCGTGCCCCCCAGCTCCTGATTTGAGAGAGAAGAGAGAGGAGGTGACAGCCAACAACAGGCTCTCGTCAACCTCACCTCAAACCTTCCCTCTGTGTTCTTGGCTCACATGAGAGTGGAGGTGACAGGACGCACATGGATGAAGGCATCACAGGCACACAGCTACGGATAAAGTGCACAGCTTTACACACAGTATTTAACTATAAAACTGTATGTTTTTTTAAAATCACTGCATATCAGCTGCTTTCACACTAAAATGTGCCCATTTTAGAAGTGATTGTGCTTCAGCTGGTGGTTTTGTTTCTCAGGTGACTCCACCTCCCACACCTCGATGCTTTTGATCTGATCTTTTCCACATATCAGCCTCTTTGTGTTTGATAGTGGTTTATATGTAATCATCTTTGAAAGAGGATATTTTAGTTGTCAATCAATAAAGGTGAGATTAATGCAGGAAATGTATATGGTTGTTTTTGCGTAATTTATTATCATTATTTTTGTTTTGTCTTACAACATTCCGCAGATCTGTTTTACTGCAACCACCTTATTGTTTTTCACTGAAAGGTACCTGTGGTATTTGATTGGTCTCAAAAGGCACACACGACAACCAGATGCTTATTAGTCATAAAAGCGAAAGCATTAGCTCTTTTTTATTTTTATTTTCTATTATTGTTAGATCTGCTCAGGAAAAATAAAAAGAAACTATCTACCTCTCAAGGTGACATTTCTGCTCGATGAGCTCTTGGATTGGGACAGTATTTACGAAAAGAACTGCGGAAAAACAAGCCTTTCTTAACGGCCAATAGACAGTATATTCTAAAACTTGATCAAAGGTTTTATTTTATTTTATTTATTTATTTTTGTTAGGAACTGAAGCCAGCAGGAACAGGTGCTACCATAATGTATTTTTGTAACCAGAGTCTGTGCATTTGAAATGTTGGGCTTTAACCCTGGATTTACACTCTGTCTACTCCGTCTACTCCACTCAGCTCCGAAGCACAGAAGTGCACTGAGAGGCATGCTCAGGAAATGCAAAACTGTGCTGATAAATGTGGAAGTCAAACCAAAACGATTTTATTCTGCGAAAGACAGACTTGGGTCAACAGTTGACAATAAATCACTATTGTCTTTTTTTGCCTCCATATTTCAGAATAAAATCCACGTTTTGTGCGTATGCATATGCTGCATGCTCTGTTTCCCAAACAGAATTATTCATTTTGACAGCATGTATGAGTAAATATATCCATATATTTGAAACTGTAGCAAGTTTAAAAAAAGTAGTCAGTCTTTGGTGAATTATTTTGAAAATACAAATGTTGCACTCTATAATCCCTTTTGGTGAGGTGTGATCATTGTAGATTGACTCTGYACTTAATCAGCTGTCTGGAAAARAATAGAGTCAAATCTAATTTTCTTGCACAGCGCCRCCCACAGACACAATTTAAGTAAATGCTCTTATTTATTATGATGTGTGCTTTTTTTTTTTTTTTACTGCTGAGGTCATGTAGGAGCACTGCAGAGTGGARCAAATGCAGTGTAAATTTGGGGTAAGCCCCGCCCACTTCCCTGCACACAATCATGGTGTCACATGACTGTTTTGTTAGGCTGTAAATAACCATTTACAATAAAACTTGAACGTACATCACTAGGGAAAAACTACACAAATCAACAAGCATCAACATCTACAAAAGGATTATTTGAATARAAACTGCAGTTGAGTCCAGTTAATCTGAAAGCTTTTTATATTCAAATAAAGCTCAAAATATATTCTTTGATGTTAAAACAGAAAAGGGTAAGTTTTTGTTACTTAGGTATTTTGTTTTTTAACATCAAAGCAGTTCTGATACTAAGTACAAAGACTAATAATGCTACTTATTTTTTGCCTAGTCCAGTCAACAGCTACATCGAAACAGGAGATTATCCAGTAAAATGACRAGAAAGACGTTTCCTTTTTCCAAAGTCTCAGGAATGAACTTGACAGGTGAGCGTGTTAAGCAGCTGCACACATGAAGGCAGGATTGAACATGAGGCCGACCGTATTTTGTGAATGCTGATTAGAAACGCTGCCAGGCAGGGGCAGTTTTTTTCTGCTTGCAGATAACGGTTCTGGGAGATCAGTCAGCGTGAGCAACGTCTTTGTGTGAGGTGTGCAGTTTTTAAAAAACACTGTAATTGTTTCTCGATTGCACTAAATGCGAGGCAGAACGCTTCTGTGTGTGCGTTTGTTATCAGCTTAGSGGGGGCTATCTGAACAGATCAGATTCAGATATTTGTGTATAATATCATGAATGTTGGTGTGAAAAGCAATCTACTTTAGGCTTGGTTCTAGCAACGCAGTCTCAGAAAAACAAAAAACAGTAAAACAGAAAATGCGATCAGTGCGACTCCAACGTCAAGCATGAAGCAAAAATCAAACTAATATTGTTTAACTCCTGCATTTCTGGTTTTACAGTAAATCACATTTATTTTCTAAGAAGAACTTTGTGAAAACTTTACCGTCACAAGTTGGTAACGGGTGGCTCCACCAGTGATTCTTTTCGCACACCAACGGCTCTTCATGACTGAGTCTGTAGCCCGAATCACAACCAAAGGACACGGTGGACCCAATGGAAAAATCTTGTCCATAACGAATGCCGTTAACAGGWATGCCAGGGTCCAAGCAGGAGTAGCTGTCCACTGTAACACCTGATAAACCATGACAAGAAAAAAAAAAAACAGTTGAATTTAGCTGATTTAAACGATCCAAAGAGCGCAGCTTTACTGTTCACAAAAGGCACCCAGGGGTGCAATCATTGTTGTTTATTTTCACGCAGGTAATGACCCCAGCACAAAGTTGGCCTGTGAAACTGGGTTGTGGGTGGGCTATTAGCGCGATGCTGTCGCCCCATGCCTTCTTATTATGAGTGTAATCAAAATCCTACTGTGAGGAAAGTATCTCCAAAAATATATTTTCATTTCGGCCTGCATGTTCTGAGTGCTCACATGTTTTTTTTTTTAACTCTGCAGAAGGATCGACKAAGACAACTTTAATCTCAATCAGCTCACGCCGGCACGCCGGATTTGTGTCCAACTTACTTTCGTAGAGTATTTTGAAGCCCACATTGGAGCGGCTGTTATCAGTGGTGAACAGAAGATAAAGGAAGTTGCTGCTGCTGAACAGGAACTGGGGCACCTGGGTACCGTTGAAGGAGCCAATCAGAGGCGAGAGGAGGTTTGGACCGTCGTGGATCTCGAGGAAGTCATAACCCAACTCAGTCTGGAACCTGGTAGAAGAAAACATCCCATGATTATGATTTCAACACTGATCAAATGTAATTTTAATAATTTCAAAGAATGAACTCGCTTTGTTTTTAATGTCCTCATACACTTTTAATAGCAAAATGAAACTCAAGTTAATATTCAAACTCATAAATGTTGGAGCTTTATAGCTGCTGATGCCTTTTCAAAACTTAAAAAAACTCATTATAGTAAACAAAATAAAATATATCTGCCTTCATTGCAGCTTAATTGTCAGTCTTTGGTAAATGGCCTACAAATATAAAAAGTTTACTATATTCTTGATAAGTTTTCATACTAGATATGGTTATATGATTATTTAAGATGTTCCTTATTATGTTTTTAAGGTCTTTACGAGATGAAGAGGTAAAAATGATGTTTACCCACCTGTCAAATGTAATTTTAATGGAACGTCCTGGCTCTGATTCAATCACCCACTCACAGCTGAGGGAATCTTTGTAGTAACCGGGCCACCCTGGAGACAAAATGACTCCACTTGGAGCTGAATAGTGGCCTCCACATGGAGCTGGTGGGAGAGAAAATAAACAGGTCATTCCCTCTGCTTTGAGCTCCGATTTAGTTTCCTTTAAAGGACACGTGATGCTTTTAAATCCTTCTTTTTTATATTAAAATCATTCAGCTGGGGTCTAAATAAAGTGGAACATTGCATTGTTTTGGTCTGAATTTCTCCTTATTGTAACTCCACAAGCCCCTCTTTCAGCTATTTTCTGAGGTGGGTCTCAGATGAACTTGTTTTGAGGCTGTCTCTTTATATCCAAGCAGGGTATTTCACACAACGCCCCTCTCCAGCCTCAAGGCCAGTCTATTTTACCTTGATAGAGGGGTTTACAAATTAATTAAAACATGTCAGCAACACGGCGTTGGGAGAGACTAAAGCGCCACCTTCCTAAAATAATCGCCCAAGTTTTTCAGGAAAGACAAAAAAATAAATAAATAAAAATGTAGGTCAGCTTCAGTCACACCTAATAAACAGGCCATTATCTTAAGGGGTCAAATCAAATGATTTGATCAACTGAGAATATAGGTGGTTTTACCACCTGGTGGTCAACATCTTGAGGAGATGATTGAAAAATGACTTAGGTGATTATAGGAAGGTGACAAAATTCAGAGTTACAACAAAAGTACACAACAAAATGTAGTTACCAGCTAAAATAGTAGGTTTTGCAGGATATGTCCCCTTTAAAGGGATCCCCGATTATTTGTAACATCAGACTTTATTTAACCCTCCTGTTGTCTTCGGGTCAAAATGACCCGCCACTGTGTAAAAACCCCCCAAAAAATCCCCTAAATGTTAT